AAATTCAACTCTAGTTTATACTGGCTACTTTTAACAGAATAGCTTGTTTAGTATACAAACTTGGTCATTTCGAAGATGACGCTCCCTAATTTCTCATTCTTTACTAATGGAGTATGCTTTGGGTTGGAAAATGTCAATGATTGGATATTTTTCATAAAATTTCTCAACCAAAAACATGGATTAGATATGTCCAAGTTCCTTAACGATATTCAATCGCAAAACATTTGTTTATTTAGCTTTACTTATCACTTTTTTATTTTGAAGAGCATGCCTTAAGCTTATGAGTCAAGAAGGCGGGTTACTAGCCTGTTGTAGAGATTTCTGCAAACCATTTCACACTTTATCCTTATCCTTTTTACGACCATACTACTAATTATGACATGAGCTTAAATAATTATGGTTATGTGTTTTAAAGATGATAAAGAACCTAAAAGCCGTAGTTGTTGCTTACTTGTGATCTCTACAACTAATATCATTTAGATAGCTTGTCGTCTTAAATAGCAATTAAAAATGATTTGACGGTTATCTTTGATTTCTAATTACACAGCTTTAGCACTGCTAAACGACCTTCTGTAATCAAGAAATTCAGACGAAACACAAACATTTGTCAACTAGTTTACAATTCAAGGATTACTCTCTTATTATTTCGCATAACTTACTGTCACTTTTCGCCCTAATTCAATCAGATACACTCCTGACCCAGATTTATCTCATCAGTCCTGATTTGTTAAACAATCTTCTAATTTTATCAACAAAGATGGATAGTGACTAGCAGTGGAATTCAGAACGCGCGTTTCGTCCTACTTGGGACGCGTCAGCTGGATATACTCACATCTCAGAGTTGATGTCCACTCTGAGACTAGAACCCAGTACCGTTTGCTTCAAACGGCATCGCGTTATTCACTTAGCTGCTGAGTCCTATTAACTACCTACTTGTGCAATGGGGTGAAGTTATATTCACTTGGTGTTGTTAACTTGTATCTTCCCATTGCTATTTAGGACTGCAATTGATCAGTCTGTTGTTGGCATATGTACATCCTGTGCAGACTGCCTCGATATTGCCTGAAGTCGCAAGCTTTATAAGCAAAGATGGATTTCAGGCAATATCGAGGCAGTCTGCACAGGATGCACATATGCCAACAACAAACTGATCAATTACAGTCCTAAATAACAATGGGAAGATACAAGCAAGCAACATCAAGTGAATATAATCTTCCAACTATTTATTATAATATTAATAAGTGCATATTTTTGAAGTTGTTTACTAATGTTGATAGGTACAGTAAAACGTTTCGGTTTAATCTCTTCGTATTTTGTAAAGTATAGTTTTTACACCCGGAGGTTTCACATGCTTCTGATCGATTTATCGTCAGGTATAAATATCACGAATGAAGTACAATATAACTCAATGATGAATATAGATTTCACTGATTGAAATCATGAGTCAATTGAAGTTAGACCACTATGGAAAACCTGGAAGCACTGGACGGCCGTTTCGTTCTAGTATGGGACTCCTCAGTAGTGGGCATGCACGGTCGCGCATCTCACGGGATTCGAACCCAAGACCTACTGGTTTCGTGCGCCGTCCCGTACTTCCAGGTTTTCCATGGTGGTCTAGCTTCAATTGACTCGTGATTTCAACCTGCGAAATTTCTAAAAATCTCCACAAAACCCATTCCGAACATAGATTTGTACTAAATCAGTCGCTCTAACAGGTTTCGTTGTTATACACAACAATAACGTGAATAACTGATACAACTGAACTATTGTTCAAAATCAATAGTTTTAAATTGATTCAAGTAAAAATAAACAGTCCTCCAATGAATAGGCAGTGTTGGGACATCGAATATTATCAAAATAGTTAATTTATAATTCATTAGGATCTATAATCATTGTTTCTGTCTGGTTATCACGCAATCTATATAATTTAAATTATTACAAATTTGAGTCTAGCTTTCTCAAATATATTGATCATGATATTACAAAGACTAATCAAAGGTAGCTAGAATAGTACGATTTGTCACACTTTAACAAGTACAAATACATTTCACTGAAATCACTAAAGTTTAGTCATAGAATAAAGGAGTTTCAACTTCAAGATTTAAAAGACAAATATATTGAACTATTCAAACTGTTTTTCAGACTCAAAATCTATCCTTGAGAAAAAATTAACATTGGAGATTTTTGACCCCGGAAAACATTCCATTATATGGCAACATTTAAATAGTGTTTAAAGGGACATAAATAGATGATTTAGTCTGTTAATTGAGTACTCGATCTGATTTTCTGGCCGCTTCTAATAATCTCAGTCTAAATCTACATAACAGTCTAGACACAAAAGAATAGGAAGAAAACGCAAAAATGGTGCTGTACTCGTGCTTATTTTTATTATTCAATGTGACCTTGATCATCTAGAAAGTTTCAGAAGAATAATAAATATTATCAATAAGGAGTTGACTCATGATTCGTTATCCTTTTAGATATTTCAAAGAAATTTCTATTCAGTCCCGACTGAATAAAATGCTTCCAAGCGATTTCAGGACCCGTTAAGTTATACAAGGATAATTTGGGAACACTCTAACCGTAGAGTTAGGGCTTAACGACTTAACATCTAATTGCTTTTTCAATCAGTATTATACGGATGTATTAAAAAATAAAGGTATTTACTAACTGATAACTGATTCTTTTGAAAATTATTATTCTTGAATAAGTTTAGATCCCCATTTATTTCGGCATCTCATACAAGGGTTATCATGGAAAATATCTATTTTAAGCTATAAATATGATATATATGAAATCATCATCAAAGTTATCGCATTATTTTCAACAATTTTAAAAAAGATTTTCTTTATATGTTACATTTAATTCCTCTCCCATTATTATTAATAATACAACTATCTACAGGTTTTATTGGACGCTGCAAACGGCGATCTACCCAAAATTGAACATTTAATACAAACATGTACAGTTCCTTTAATTCCCCAATTTACAATACAACGAGAAATTGATAAACAAGCTAAGGCGAATGAAAAGAAAGGTGGAACGAAGAAAAGTGGAAAGAAGAGTGGAAAAAAAAGTGGTAAAGGCAAAAAGAAGAAATGATCAATTTGTCCAAGATTATGTGAAAATTTAAAGTACTTCTACTGTTTTGCTTACATTCATACATACATTATATACCTGTACAATATGGTATACATATTAATAAAATCTATTATTACAAATTTATCATTTGAGCACTAAATAAAGTAGAAAAGAAAGCAATCAAGTCATGAATGACAGAAATGCAAAAAAGATAGGCAGATGGAAAGCCAATGAGTACATAAAGGTCAAGAATTACTCTCACGTTTTCAATTGTTGTTACGATTATTTATTGTAAAAATATTCTAACATAAAAACATGGACATCAAAATATGTAGTGAAACGTTCACTGTTTATTTCGACTTACTACTCATACTACTCAGATATTATAAGTAGCATAAAAATAATTACAATTATTGTAATCGTGATGAGATCTAAGATTGACTCAAGTGATTTTAGATGTGATAAGCTTGGTGTTTTAATGTAATATCTGGTTTTTACGAATAATAATCTTAACTTTAGAAAGTTGCATATTAAATTGTGATAAGATTATCCTTTTCTATTAACTACAATTTGTTATAATTAATAGTCGAGATGAAATAGAGTACTCAATCCTTAATGAAATCTTTCATGGTTTTTTTCAACCACAATTTACCTTACAGATAAAAATAGATTTCAATTTACAAAAAATGATCACATTTCAGACTCAAGCTAGTTGAAATTAAATCATTTGCAACGGTTGTCTTTAGTCATTTTGTAGTGAACGAGAAATGCTAAACCATAAATTTGAGCATACAACAATCGATCAAGTGGTTCGCTGACGACAAAAATTCAACTCATTACTGTATTACATACATGATTGAAAATAGTATATATTTTGTGAAAAATCCTAGGCAGTGAAGAAACGAATCTAAGCGTATGTACACCTTATGCCTAAATTTTTATAAAATTGAGATTGGTCACACAAAATAATTGTAATGACAATGTGAGTGTGTTAGTGTGAGTAAATGATTTACTTCTCTAATCAAGTTCTTAGTCCAGATTTTCTTATCCTTATGGTATGCATACGTTATAAATAACATTAATTACCTATCAGTAATACGCTATTCTACACAATCTCAGTTTACTGTCTTTATAATATTTCGTTCGTTGGGCACCAAAAATTAGGATTAGTAGTTGAATTCGATCATCAAAGGCACAAAAATCTTAGTTTGCCAATAACGTTTTGCAGATATGTGAAACTAAAGTTGATATCAAATGAATTGTTGGGCCAACTTAATTAAAAATAGTTATTGATAGCCTGAAATTATTATCAAAAGAGAGTAACTGCAGTTGTAAAGTTACCTTCTACAAACAGTGTGTTATAATATATCAAGAACAGATAAGCAGGATAGATGTTATGATTGGTAAACCCTGATGTTAAGTCATTAATTTTACCAAAAATATGAATATTAAGATCCTTTTGGTACCTATAAATGTATAATAGTAATGCAAGCAAAATCCAGCTGGATACATTATTCTTGTCTGATTAAAACGATCTCGTTATTGATAATGATTACTGTTGTATGGTGTAATAAATCAATATTTTCATCAGTTAACCAAACTCATTTTTAATAAAAGTGTGGTATGTGGTACTGGTGTCAGCAAATATAAATAGTATATATCACCAGTCGAAAACGAAATGCTTAGGGACAGAAGGTTAAGAAGATCGAAGGAAAGAGAACGATTGATGTAAAAACAAACAAAATTTGAGACAACTAATGAAGAATTTGTAAATGAAGTATTTGCTGTGTAGTTCTCATATCTTACTAAGAAATACTATGATTCCTTATATGGATACATTCGGTTGTCTTCCATTGATGTTCTCATTGACTACACTCTAACAACAACAATAATAACAATAAAAATGCACTTTTCTCATTTTTTTTTATTTTGTTCTAAATGGCTAATAATCTATGATAACGAAATCGTAATTTTGTTATTTCAATAGTTGAGATCATGAATCAATTGAAGCCAGAACACCATGGAAAACCTAGAAGCAATGGACAGCTGTTTCGTCTCATTGTATGACTCCTCAGCAGTGCGCAGCCACGACCCCGCTCAACGGGATTCAAACCCAGGACCTATCACTCTCGCGCTAGGCGCCTGTCCACCACCGTTGGATGCCGGCTCAGTGGTTTAGTGTTTAAGTGCTCGCGCGCGAGACTGATAGGTCCCGGGTTTGAATCCCGTTAGGAGAGGTCGTGGCTGCGCACTGCTGAGGAGTCATACAATGGGACGAAATAGCTTTCCATTGCTTCCAGGTTTTCCATGGTGGTCTTGCTTCAATTGACTCATGATCTTTACTATTGAAATTTTGTTATCTGTTTAAAACTATGTTTATGATGTAATATGATATAAAAATGTTTAACTGGTTTAATTTATCTAACTTTTTATTTGTTTTCATTCGAACATTGTACAATTTTATTAATTGTGGCACACATTAAAACAACTTGGATTAAGTTAATTTGAAATTGAAAGATTATTCATACAAACAAAAGCAAAACAATAATGAATAGTAATTGACTAATTATTGAATATATGAATGTATTCAATTCAATATAGTTTCTTTTTCATTTTCCGGAAATTTCTCTGTTTTTTTCTCTGTTCCATTATTTTGATTATGATGATTTTGTTAGTAGTTTGTTTCTATGTACGATAGCATACAGCGCCGACATTTACACTTAATGAACATGTTCCTTGTTTATCGAAATTCCGTACTTTAAAATCAATAATTGGCAATACTTCTAAATCTCTTGTTTCAATTAATAACTTAGTAGCTGCACCTTTTGTTAAGTACTAGAGAGAAAAAAATAGGAGAGAAAGAGAGATATAAAGAAAATGTAAATAAAAGTTATTTATTTTGAAGGTAATAATGGCTCATTCTCATTGAAATCAAATTCTATTCTTTATTAAACTATTAGATGTTAGACACTATCACCATATGGTGCCGGCTCAGTGGTCCGGTAGGTTAATTGTTCGCTCGCGAGATCGAAGGCCCTGGGTTTGAATCCCGCGAGCGGGATCGTGGATGTGCGCTGCTGAGGAGTCCCACAACAGGACGAAACGGCCGTCCAGTGCTTTCAGGTTTCTAAAGGTGGTCTAACACCAACCGGTTCATGATCTCAATCTCAAACTTAAACTATTATATTTGAATTGTGGTATATACATTTTCTAGGGTCAGAATATCCAACTTCTTCAGTGAATGTATTATCATATAAATTATGTTGTAAAAAGTTGAGTATGGTTTTTGGACTTACTACCAGTGAACCTGACCTCTTATGTGTTGCAAGTTGCAAGTTAGATTTTCTGCATCATCGTCATTGGGTCTTTCCAACCTCGATTAATCCAATTATTTTCATTATCTATTAACAATCAACTTATGTTTTTATAATGATGTTAAATGACCTTATACGAAATATCAGGACATTGTTAAAATTTATTTATGTTTATTTGACCCATTACAGCATGACTGTAAACAGATTTTGTCACAAACTTGTGAGAGCCCTAATAGTCTTGATACATCGAAACCAGATAGTCTAAGATATACACGTAGATCACAGTTGATATTAGATTGATCTTCTAAGAAAATAGGATTTAATGCTATGTAGCCCAGATAAAGGCTACAAGTGTTGTCCTTTTCTGGTCGCCATTTCTATATTACTAAATTATCATCGATAAATTCTCCGAAGAAATCATTCAGAAATGTTGCGAATGAGTTGTTGCTATCGTTGTTATTAATTTTATTCTAAATATTCGATTTAGTTGTTTATTAGTTCTATTTGTTCCCTTTGAATTATCTTGAATTCGTTGTGTAAGATGGATTTTCGTATGGTCAGTGCAACTTTTTAATTGTTTGTTACATGAGTTTTATCTGGAATGAATATCGACTCATCTTCCGAACGATGAAAGCTCCACGACCAAACCATCCAGCTCAGAGAACAAAACTCCACCAAAATCATCCACCTGAGCTACAAATCTTCTCCACCATCTCAATATTTCATATGCCCATGAAACGTATCTAACTTTTACCATTCATTATGATTACTATAGTTAGAAAAATGTTCATGATTGATTAACTAACCTGACATCCATCATATTCTACAATAATACTTGTATCAACACGATCTAAATTATTTCGATAATTACGCTTATCCATATGATATTTTCCTGGTCCTAATCTTTCACCTGAAGTTAAATCAAGCATACGTTCATTATGTGCTAGAAGAGCTGTTGCTTTATTAAAATCTGATTGACTTGTACGTGAATTCCATGAACCATAGATTTCTGTACCATCACATAAAAATTCGAGTTCCTGTGATGCATATCTATGTTGAATACGTAACATATTAACTTGTGAATGACTTCCATAATTATGTAACTAAATAGTGGAAAGAAAAAGTGTTCTCGTTAGTTTGGTGTTGAATAACGTAAACGATACACATAGTGTAAGAACTTTAAAAAAATTGGATTAGGTTTATATTTAGAATTACTATAAAATATAATTACCACGACACGTAATGCTGACTATTGTTGGGGATGGTTGGAAGAAAGTTAGGGGCGGCCAAACCAAAACGTGGCATCAGTCGTTGAAGTCACTAACTTCTAGTCTTAACCATATTGGTAGATGCAGACTACTTGGTTGGGGTCCGCGTGACTATCGTAACCGATGGTTGGAGACTCTTGGTGACATGGCTCAGAATCGATCACAATGGCGTAGGTGTATACCCTCTCTGTCTTCCCATAAACTATAAGATTAAAATCGCTTCATACCTTAGTTTCTACGAACTAATTCTTTCTTCCTGTACTATGTCCTTATATGCAACCTTTCTTTTATATATTACTGCCACTGAATTAACTACTTCTATGAATCCAGTGTTCATCTTGTTTTGCTAATGAGGTATGGGAACTTGGATCGATGTAGATATGTGACTGGTCCTAAGTTGTAGCTGACTGGCTGATAATTACTATGAACAAAATCGAGATTTAGTTCGTCTAAAAAAAACGAAGGGACCGTTAGTGATCAGAAATTAGTCTGATCATAGGTGTTGTCTACGCAATGTTTGTACTCGGTGTAATAATAGAGTCGGGAATAAGGAAATAAAGATGGTATATCGGTTGATGAGACTATAGGTCAACTGAAGAGGCTGAAAAACATATAACACATATTATGCCCAAAACACCAAATAATTTGACATTCAATGCTGGTTTGTATAACAGTGAATTAGGAAAAAGTTAGGAGCGAATAAAGCAAGACGAGACATTAGTCCACTAAACCAATAACTGTTGAACTGAGCAGTATTTATAAGTTTAAACTACGTAATTGGTGACCATATAAAGACTATAGTCGGTAGTTAGAGACATTCAGTAATGTAAATCAGAGTCAATTACAGTGATTCAGACGAATTCACTGTTTACCTATACTTAGATATTAAGCTTCAATAGTCATTCATAATGGCTTTCTTATCATTTTTATTTTAGAACTACATTCTTAGTGTTCAGACATTTTTAATCATCATTGATAGTGCTATTATTTCGATTCCTTTGCTATCAGTCTAACTAAATTCACCTCATTATTCTAATATGTTATAAAAACTTGGACTGGTGCACATTGATCTCAGGTTCTATACTGACTAGAACTAACATTTTAATCAAATATTCAAAACTTTTCCGCGCGAGCGGGATCGTGGATGCGCACCGCTGAGGAGTCCCACAATGGGACGAAACGGCCGTCCAGTGCTTCTAGGTTTTCAATGGTGGTCTATCATCAATCGGTTCATCATCTCATTCAAAAACTTAACAATCTCCACAACTCCTTAACTGATCATATATTTCAATCAAATTAGAGGATAATGATGTAAAAGAAACCCTATTTTTATGTTTCAAGTTAGAAACTAGATGAAAACAAATCAATCACATTCAGTTACATTGATAATTGTCAAGTCATTACTTATAACATTCAAGCATTACGTTTTCTTCCCATGACTAGAGATGTGTCTTATTAGCTAATTCTAATTTATCAATCTAGAACAGGTCACTTTATGACCTTGTCACTGTTCATTTGTAACCTTGATTGTGTTTTGTATGAGCGTATTTATGCCTATGTTTAATTATCACTCACTCTATTTCGTCATAGGATTTTTGTTTTCATTTCCTGTCTTACCATAAATGTTGAATTAAGCTTGATTAAGTTGAATAGGCAAATGTTTCATCGTCTGTCTATATTAATGGATCTCTGAATTATGTGTATCTAAAATCACTAGCATTCGACTTGATTATTATTAGTGTGAACGTCTTTTAGTGACTGGTGAATAAATTATTCTTCTACAGCTTTAGATTCTCCTTTACGTTGGCATATCAATCCTGTTCTCTTGCTTTAAGTGGCAGGTATCATTTGATTTGCAGTTACAATAAATAGTCGTGCCATTAGGAGTAATCAGCATTTATTCCAAGTAGCAACACTGATGTACCAATCTAGTTCCAGGTCATCATATCATCAAATGAACTTCTAATCGTGTCTACGTGACAAAATTCGTAAAAATAAAATGATGCCAAGCTAATAAAAAATTGACATGATCAATTTGTGAGGTTGAGATTAATTAATCAGTGAAATGGAAGTTGATACCAACAGAAAGTACAAGACTACAACAATTCCAGTTGAATTCATGTTAAATTGCTTGAGTGCTTACAAAACTAATTAGTAGTTCTTTGTCCCCTTGTAATGAACGAGAACACAGGTATGGAATACCGATTTCTGTTTGAATGCGAAATTACAAAATCTCTCGACAAAATATAAGAATCATACACTGAATACTTCATTTGCAAACTTCCGTCATTTGTCCTTCATATTCTGTATGATTCCCCTACTTCACAATTTCTTTTTATTTACCCTTCTTTTCTCTTCACCTCGATCTTCTTAGCCTTTTGCTACCAGGTTTTCCACTTTCAGTCGGTGTTACATACTACTTATATCTGTCGACATAAATAGCATACACTATACCCTGAGCTAGATGATTTAATTTTAAAGCTTTTATTATCCTTCCGGACAACAAAATCAGTTTGCTTGTTTCTCTGGTTAAATCTATATCACTTGAAGAAGACAGCATAATGAAACTATCCAACTAAGCTATAATTCTTTGTTCGTATCATTGCAATGTAATTATTGAGCACGACGTTTAAACGAAGACTAAGATTAATCTTATTATTAAAAGTATTGTAGATAGGCTTCTCGTTGACAAAACAAACTCCAAACGTCACCAATAATTTTGACAACATGTAACAATAAGTTTACGAAATGACACATCTGCAGACATACGTACAGAAGTACAAGAAACGAAGTTGCGGATATTACACGATAGAAATTTTTGATTACTGAATTTACTGTGAGGTATGATCGACAAACGAACTCATTACCATATTGGCCCTCTTTGGCCATGTACGACTATACCTTGTTTATTCAATAATCGTAATCCATCATGTTTGTCACAATCGATATTGAGTTTTGTTGATTGATTTTTTCTGTCCTCCACTTGTTATTTTCTGTGTTATTTATACCGCTCTTTTTTCTTGTTTAGTGGAATGTCTTAATCTGTATTTTTTGTATACTAACGATGTTAATTTACGTTTCTGAAACAGTTTATCAAGTTAAATAGCTTACTTGTTCTGACTTTGATTAAACTATGACTTTGTATTCGACAGTCTAGACATTAGCTTAGAAGTGCATATGTAGGTAATTACTGCCTACATTTATTAATTTTAACAATAATACTCAATTTTGATGAAGGTTTGTTCTCTAGGCTGGATAGTTAGAGAACAAAACTCCATCAAAATCATCCACCTGAGCTGCAAATTTTCGCCACCATTTCAATACTCGATTTATTTATGATTTGAGCGATTTCATCCAAGTGATTACCATTAATCTTATAGATATTTCTAGTGAACTATCCAAGCAGACTTTCATTCAATATGTCTCAGTGATTCATTTAAACATATTAAAATCATAAATCAGTTTAAAATTCATTTATATAACTTACATCTAATGGTGTTGTAGAATTCATCACTCGAAGTTGACTTTGCCACTCACTATCACTTGGTAATGGTTTCAGATACGTAACTAGTATTCCCTAATATCAAAATAAATTTCAGAATTATCACAATGACAAAGTAATATAACTATTTATTTAGAAATATATCCAATTAGATCATTACATAAATCTTCTAAATGAAGACCTTCTAACTTCCAGGGCAGAGTTTAAACGATTTAAATTAGTTTTTTCTGGTTAGCGTTTCTTTGGCGAGTTTTTTTTCTACGGGATGGGGTCGCTAACCCTATGCTCAACCTTTCTCCTTTATCCGGACTTGGGACCGGCAGTAGTCCCAGGAGGGCTCCAGGCTCTATTGGGATTAACAGGCGTAAGTCAATAAATCAATAAGATTATAACATAAATTCTACTGATGACAATATTAGCTGTAAAACATTCACTTAATTAGCAGATATTCAATAAGTTTCATGACAATATTGAAATTTAGGAAATCGAAGTTGTAAATTTACGACTTTTGTTCGTATCACGAAAAAATTTTCAATCTTAAACTTCTCATGAACTTTAGGCTTCAGTTTGACATACTTCCATTCGAATGAGTGTGCATTCTCTATTCATATACATGAATAATAAATGCGATCATTCAACGTTTTACATCATTCTAGCAAGTAAAATCTAAGCGTCGGAAATCTAATAACTATTCTTACCAAATGACATATAATTAAAAAGAAACATTAATGAGACCGATTAAGTCCCTATTGTTCATTGTCACAGATCATTACTAACCATATATAACTTCCATGAAGATTCATTCTCTAGTTGATATTGTGAATGTTGTCTTCACCTTTGAAGAATCAAACATATCTTACTAATTATAACGAAACATATGATATCAGACATTCTACGCACATTAAATTATTGAAAAACCTGCAGTTCTTTATGGAAATGATTCAAATAACATTATCATTCAGATTAGAACAATGGATCTGATATGAAAGGATTAAAAGATTTTTGTGACCTGAGTACAGAAGGTTATTGATCACGTCGGACTCACCACTTTTGTGAACCTGAATCTGACTCCAGATCGTATGAATATTATTGAAATATACATATCACCAGTCTTCGTATATAATTATTGGATTAAATCGCGTTGGTGGATAATGGAATTAAATATGTTAAATACGAGAATGAATATTTGAATACGTATATTTTGTACACTTATTGGTCTGGATAGACAATAAGAGGGACGAAGCGTAGGAAGCGAAGAAATGAGAACAAAGAGAGATGGCGCTCAGTGGAGAAGGTAGGTGAATTAAATCTACTGAGTGCCTTCCTTTCTATCTGGTAGCTGGGATTTGCACTTAGTTTATTTATAGTGACACGACATTAAAATTGTTTTACGCTCAAAAATCTCCGCTTAACATAAACATTTATTCACCTTTAATAAAATTACTAAGATTACTAGTAACATTCACTTACTTGATCCATACTTGAATCAACACATGTCTCAACAGTGCCATCATCAAAAAATGTACACTTCGCTCTAATTGCATCTTTGTTTGACCCTTCATTTGGATCGATCCAATAACTGGTAAATTAGAAGAAAATAACTAGAATAAGACTGAGTATTTGAGTTTTAAAGTAACTATCATTAAATGATAGTGGAAAGACATGTGTTTATGGAGAACTCTTAATTCTAAGTCCGTTTTCATTATGATGTGACATATGCTGCCCAAGTACTTAAATCAAGGGAGCACTAGAGAGTCATTTAATTTGCGTATATGCTTCTTAGCAATAATCACTCGCTAACATATACACCATCTATCCCTTGGTTATTAGATTACGCAGTAAGCAATAAACGTTACGTCCAGTATGGCTGGACTCCACCAGTCATGATTAATATAATAACTCCAGAAGAAAACACAAAGGAGCGGATGATTTCAATGAGCATTGACTTTTGTAAAAATTGTTAAGTAAAAAATTCCACATTTCTCGATTCTCTTCTGATTGATATTGTCAGTGCACACTGCTAGGTTCCATAAACATAATGCGTTCTTCCTTCGTTCATTATTTATTCAAACTGTTCTACGTGTATCAGGCATTTTTATCGAACTAATTCGTTTAGGATTAGTATTAATAATGAGACTACTTATAATAATCCCCGTTATTGTGACAGACAGAAGTATAGTTCGCCATTTATAGCTCAACCCTGAAGTAACCATGAAGTAGATCTCCCGTTAATAAACTAACTAGAAAATATCAAAATGTAAAATTAATGATTATTGCTAGAATAAATTTAATCATAAGCAGAGATGTGTATTGACTAGTAGTGAAATCTGGATTGGGCGTTTCGTTCTGTTTGGGACTCGTCAGCTGGATATACCAGCATTCCAGAGATGATGTTCACTCCGGAACTCGTATCGAGTACCTTTCACTTCAAACGCCATCGCGTTATCCATTTAACTACTGAGTCCTGATCAATTGCAGTCCTAAACATCAATGGGAAGATTAAAAAAAAGACAGTACAAAAACGAAATGAAATTTAATTATACTTTGGATTAGTCAACTGTAATTTGATATTATCTTTTATCTTATCATATAGAATAAGACAATATGAAGTTAAATATCACTTAATTAAATTTTAAAACCTATTGTGTAGTCAACTTATCAGTGATAAGTCTGTTTAATGAAGACTCAATCCGAATTCCTATATACTTCTAATAACCCCAAGCTAAATCTACGTGGCAACTTGAACATAAGAGAAATTTCACAAAATGCGACAAGAACGCTTTACTTGACGGTTACTTTGTGTGCAGAAAAACGGGGATATTTATGGAGTTACACTTGACCTTAAGGTTCTCGAAATTTCTGGCACCATACTAAATATTGTAAGGGTATATGTAAATATTTAATTAGAAACATGAATTGCTACATTCTAGATGTTTCTACTTAACGCTGATAGGATTAAATGTGTCCAAGCGTTTTTTTGTGGACCATATGAACTTTTCCGAGGAATAGTTTGGAACTACTCGATGTAAATAGCAATGAGAAGATTCAAACAATCAATTAAAGTTAATTAAACTTACGTATCATTCTGAGCAAATTTATTTGTCAATCTGACATCTTTACATGTTCGTGCTGGATTTTGTGGACTTAAACCAGTTGCATAACGTCTTGAACGTACTTTCTTATTCAGTGCATCTACACGTCCAAATATATTTTGATTAATTTGTTCAAGTGTTTCTTCTACAATATAAATACAAAGGTAATTAAATAATAATAAGACCAGTTTGACTGTTTGGAAGAATGTGTATCTAATATATGTTTGAGAAAATATTAGAAATCATTTTATCTACATGGGCGATATATGATCTTTGACTTTCTTGCCCTCAAACACCCTGATACTGTCGAGTGTGAGGGGAGTCAGCTCTTCCACTCAAAATGCTCTCACATGGTCACGCGTTTATTGCCACTGTCAGAGAAGTCCTACTCACTGCTTTCTCGCGACATTACTGTTGTTTTTGAAATGGAGAGGACGAAAGACGAATGTCTGATACTTTAACCGGATTGGTGGATATGGAGGACCCACTCAGAGGAGTTCGAAAATTCTGATTCCAAACCATTGGTACACATGGGCTCCAGAATCCTGATGGGAAAAAAGGCGTATGAACCTATTGTTTGTCATCAGCTAAAATGGGACTGCATCTCTTAACGTTGCTCCATGGCCTTGTGGATTAGACCTTTAGGTCAAAGGCTCAAGGAGTGGCCCCATAAGAAAACCACCTGCTTTGGTTTCAGCAGCCGGGCAGTATCACAGCCCTGACATAAATCAATGATAAATACTACTGGCCTCATTGTTATTGTGTGTTGCATATGTATTTGGTGCCCCTTTGTACCAATGTTTATGTGTTCAAATAAATAATTAATTGTTTTCAGTTAATTTATTAGTCTACATCAAAAATCCGTTAGATCACTGTCAAACATGCTACTGGAAATACAGATAATTATCCGTATAAATATTAGAATGAAGGGATAAGGATTATACAACAAGTGATCATATAATACAGTTGTATTTATAAGAATGTACCTCACAAAAGCAATACATTATTTAATGCTCACACATCTATCTCTTGAATGAAATGACGACAACTGGTTAACTGTTTTTCCTTAATAGGAAGAATTGTTTGGTGTACAAATCTTAAATAATGACTGTGTGCTTAAATAATTAAATGAGTACTATGATTGCTAGTACATTTAACATTTAAAAGATGGTTTCACTTAAGTTTCATAAAAGTATTTTTTTGGCAGATATTTTGATCAGCGTTAGACTATGGATTAATTTGTTGTGACGGCCAGTATCCGAACTGTGATATTGGTACACGATGTGGTACGTGCTAACCCCTTCCCAACTGACTACTTGAGCGAGAAATTATATTAAGCTTCCAAATTCTCTGATTAGTTTACTAGAAATAAAGCTTTCAACCATTAAGTTTATATTTAAATACAAATTTCATACTGAAATGAACCAGTAAGAAAATTATTTAAAATTAAAGAATACTGTTAAAGTCGTATTGCTTAAGTTTGAGACTTTTCAAAAATATGCATTTAGAATGACCACATTGAGTCTTTAGGCTGAGACCTTCGAACAGCTCGATGATCACCATAACTTAGGAATAATTTGTAATTTGGTACTACCTACTTCTATTGTTATTAGCAATAAATGAGTCCCTGCTGATATAGTTGGATTCTTAGAGTTACTGGCTTTCATTTATGATCTAGCAAAAATCAGTTCATCTTGAAAACCATCCACAACGTGAACTACTGATCACGAAGGTTTTCACTAAAGTGTTAAAACTTTAGATAGTTTCTAGTCAAGAAATATTAACTTAATGATTACATTCTCCTTTATCAAAATCATCAAGAAATACCTAAACAGTTTTAAAAGCATTTCATTTTGAATGTGTTCATTCAATTCCCAAGCTGTATCAGACACTTTTTTAAATATAAACTGTGATTGTTTGATAAATAAAAACCTGTGAACTGATTGTATTATCATGAATTATGCAAAAGCCGTCGGTTATTTATACAGTTACTAAGAATTTAATCAGTTTTCACTAAATAAATATGAAACAATGAATACGTTGATAATTATTGAAATATACGAAATATCGGTATTATTACACCACCACGAACGTCAAGGCAGTTCTACTGTACGGAGTTGAAACTTGGAGAACTACAACAACCATCATCAAGAAGGTGCAAGTATAAATAGCTGTCTACGCAAGATACTCAACATCCATTGGCCGGATACCATCAGCAACAGCCTTCTGTGGGAAAGAACAAACCAGCTTCCAGCTGAAGAAGAAATTAGGAAAGGACGATGTAAATGGACAGGACATACATTACACAAGTCGTCAAACTGCATCACGAGGCAAGCCCTAACTTGGAATCCTGAAGGAAAGCTGAAAAGAGGAAGGCCGAAGAACACATCATGTCGGGAAATGGAAGCAGATATGGAAAAGATGAATCACGGCTGGAAGGAGCTGGAAAGGATTGTTTGGGACAGGGTTGGATGGAGAATGCTGGTGAGTGACCTATGCTCCTTAGCGAGGTGTAACAGGCATAAGTAAGTTAGTAAGTAAAACTACAAAACGTAAACCCTTGATTCTATAGACAGTTTTATCAAGTATACAATATTTATCTTTCAAGGAAATCGTTTAATCAATAAATAGATAATAAATATAAAGATTAAAATAGATCATATTTACCAGATTGTATTGCAGCTGATCTCTTATATCTCATTCGTAGATTTTCTCCATTATTTGTTATTTTCACTTGACCTTGTGGACCTTGTTTACCCATTGGTCCAGGATCACCTTGATGACCTTGTTCTCCTCGAGGACCTGATTAAATGTAAATTTACAATACTTATAATAGTGTCATTATAGTGACAGTATTTTGTTGATAATAGACAATATATTACTAGTCACTCTAATAATAATAAAATGTCAATCAGAGCAATTTTAATGAAGCTGAAGATATTCTGTAGATTAATGATTAGTTAATTAAAAATCTATAATCAGGAGCATCACATTAAAATTATTCATTTATAGGATTAAAACCAGTCTTAATGTCTTGTACAGTAGTGGTCAGGTGTGTCGAATACTAATTTATTGTTCATCATTAACTTCAAATAAATCTTAAAGAGAGATTTAAGAAATGATTATAGTCACCATTTTAGGAATTTATCATTGCGTTCTCTCGGTTACTGGAATTGATGTGGTCAACTATGAAATCAATTAATAAGTGAAGTATCAAAATAAAACTTGCCTTGTAGACCAGGTGGACCAGGAGGGCCTGTCGGTCCTGGAGGCCCAGATTCTCCTTCATCACCATTAGGCCCTCGAGGACCAGGTGGTCCTTGATCTCCATGATCACCCATTTCACCCTGTTTTCCAGTCGGTCCAGGGTCTCCTATACTACCTTGTTCTCCTTTAGGTCCCGGCGGTCCAACTGTTCCAGGATTACCACTTACTCCTTTCGGGCCAGACTCTCCCTTTGGACCATTTGGACCTGGTGAACCCTTTGTTGAGATTGAGAAAAAAAAGACTGTCACACTAATGTGCTAAAAAGCGATCGATCCAATTTTTCAATGGTAAAACGGTTACTTACCGTTTTACCTGTGTTCCCTTTCGGTCCAGTTTCTCCTGGTGGCCCTTGAAGACCCTGAAAGTTACAAAACAGTCAATATATTTAGACACTAGATGAGATTAAGTTTAAATAGCTTGTAGATATAGAAAAACTGACTTACCTGTTCTCCTTCTGGCCCTTGAGGGCCGACTTGTCCTTCAGCTCCCATGATTCCAGGAGGTCCACGTTCACCAGGCAATCCCACTGATCCAGCAGCACCTCGATCTCCCGGGTCTCCGGTAGGACCAGTCTCACCAGCCGTTCCAGGGGGACCCTGAACACCAGGGACGCCCACAGGTCCAGGTGGTCCTGGAGGGCCATCATCACCAAATAGTCCTTCTAAACCGACAGCTCCTCTGACTCCATCTTTTCCAGGTGGACCTGCTGCACCAGGCTCGCCTGGCAATCCTGGAGCACCGATTGGGCCCATTGGCCCTTGTGCACCCTGGGATGTAATAGAATGTACATTTGAAAGTTGTGTTAAACGTAGTTGACTAGTTTAGTAACTTTTTGTTTATCGATAAAGATATAAACAAAGCAATTAAAGACGTCTTTTTTCATAAATTAAATGGATAATTTTCAAGTACAGTTTATGAAAATCTAATGTTTACCTGAACACCTGGCTCTCCAACTATTCCTGGTGGTCCCGCAGATCCAGGCTGACCTTGTCGTCCAGGTCTCCCGAGCATCCCTTTCATCCCTTTTGGTCCAGGTGGTCCAGTAGTACCTTGAGCCCCCTGTTCACCACGTGCACCTGGCTTTCCTTGTTCTCCTTTTAATCCAGGTGATCCTGGAGGACCAGGTACTCCAGGTATTCCCATTTTTCCTGGAGCTCCAGCCAAACCAACAGGTCCAGGAAGTCCGGGTGGCCCTTCTGCACCGATCACTCCTTTAATACCTGGTTCCCCGCGTGGACCACTTCGACCAGGTGAGCCCTGAAATTTATTACGGGAAGTAGAAAAATAATTCGAAGAAAGTTTCCTTTTATTGATTTCATATAGAACCTATTCATTTGTATGCGGTATCTGCTCATAATTTCGATAAAGATTAATTAAAGATTAATTATTAATTAATGTTTTAGTACACTTTTGGTGCTACTGTACTACAATTAGTGAAATAGAATGACTCATTAAATGACTTCCAGGCACAGTTGAATAATACAAAAATCAAACGATGAATCCAACCATAAAAACGTGATAATCTTTTAATGTGTACATTGTACTAACATAGTTTACATGCCACACAAACGTTAATTATCACTTTTATCAACCTTAAAATCAAAATTTACTCAGTAGGGAAGTTCATTCACATAGAGGAAACTCTGGTTATATTTGGGCTGTTTGTCAGACTGTAAAATGCTTTATAAATAATTTCATATAGCTGCTATTTTGGTTGTATGTACAATAGTAGTATGTCAAGGAAAGGACATTGTCTAAAAACAATGTAGAAACTATACAGAGAGATGTTATCCAAATTTAAAAGCTTACCTGTACACCAGCAGGTCCAGGTGCCCCTGGTGGTCCAACTTTGCCTTCTACACCTTTTATCCCTGCAACTCCAGCTATTCCGATCTCTCCTGGTTCCCCAACCATACCCTGAGGACCTGGAGATCCAGCTGCTCCTTGTTGTCCAGCAGAACCTTGTTCACCCTGAGAGGGAAAAGTGTGGAAGAAGGCAGGCGAAGAAGATGACTTTTGCTTAGCATTTATTACAAACGATAATAGAAAAAGGTGCTAATGATTATTTTACTGTTAATGCTTACCGCTTCTCCTCTGTCTCCCTTGGTACCTTGTGGTCCTGGACTCCCTTGGTCACCTTGCTCCCCATCGGCTCCTGTCGGTCCTCGTAAGCCTGGCTTGCCAATTAATCCCTGCACACCTTTTTCCCCTGTTTCACCGATTGGGCCGGGAGGACCACGTGCACCCTTGTCACTAATTCCAGTCCAAGAAAGTAATACAAAGAATTAAGCTTACTGCCAAAAAGAAATTAATTTAAGTTCCAAGTTCTAGTGACTAAAATTATCAGTCTACGTACCCAGGTTCACCTTGACTTCCTGGCAATCCCTGTGGTCCAACTGGTCCTATGGGACCAGGTGGTCCGTGTGGTCCAGGTGGACCCCTGTCACCCTTGTCACCGAGGCTTCCTTGAGGGCCGATGCGACCTTCATCTCCCTTCGACCCAGGGTCGCCCGATGGACCTGGTGGTCCACGTGTACCTCGTAATCCAACTGGGCCGCTCGGTCCAGGTGGACCAGCAGCACCCTTGGTTCCCTTTTCACCCTGCAATGCAATGAAAAATTGGTTAAATTACAAGAAACAATACATTTGTAGGTCCTTTACTACGTCTTATTTACCTATGGCAAATGTGGATAAGAAATAAATCACAAGTAGTTTCAGCCGATTCACGTCTATAACGACTAAGCTGAAGTATTACCAAACAATAGAGTAGCCATGATCAACGAAGTTGTTCTACTAATTATCTAGAAGCCACTAAAAGATTGAAATACTTAAATAAGTAGTGTTTAACAGATTTCCAAATAAATAATCATGAATATATGGAATAAGATTTATTCTTTTAGGAGCTGTCTTTCTAGCAAAATAAAAAATGTTTGGAGTAAAACAAATTAATTTGTCATTTTTGAAGATATCTTTGAGAACTGAGAAATATTGGATAACCATTTCGTTCTTTAGCAGTGAGCATACGTCATCTCGACAGAAATCGAACCTAGGACCTCCCGGTACCGCGATAAGTAGGCTACTTCCAGGTATATTTTACTGCTTCGAATAAATCACAAAGTAGTAAGATATCTTATAAGTACTCTGTAGAAACTATGCAGAAAAGATATTGAGTTTAATGTCAGAATAATCATCATAACCTACTTTCCAATTAATCAACTCATATTTATTCTCACACTGTCATTTGATCAAAGAGAAAACTTAAAAGATTTTCACTCTTTGAAAAAGAAGTGTTGAATGTGATTGATAATCTTCAGTCTATGCACAGTGGTGAATCATTGCTTATGATCAGATGACCAATTATTATAATTTATAAGCAAATTCAAAAGTTGTTTATCGAATATAAAAACAATACAATTTAAATAAAGCTGTAACTCACCTGTACTCCTTCAATCCCCTCTACCCCAGGTTTACCTGCAACCCCTTGAGGTCCACGTGGTCCTGGAGGACCACGTTCACCTGGTGCCCCCTGCTCTCCAATTTGACCAGGCACACCAACCATACCTATTGGCCCGATTTCACCAGGTATTCCCGGTTCACCAGGTTCACCTCGATCTCCTAAAAGTCCGACAGGTCCTGGTCGACCGGGTAAACCCTTCGTTGCAAAAAAACACAAAAGCATAAATGGATTACGAATAAAATTCATATTATGTAAATCTCTGATATAAGTTTCGCAAGAAATACTCTCATACATTCGATTAAGCTCTATATTTAATTTGATTAGTAAAAGTGACATAATCATTTGTAATTTCATAAAACCTTTGTTTTGAAAAGGAAGATAGAATTACGTGTATATTTTTTAATATGAAGGTTTGATTACTTAAATCTGTTATTCAGTTCATGTTAAATTAACTATTTTACATTTCAATGAAAAATCTATACTTACCGGAGGACCCGGAACTCCTACGAATCCGGGGGAACCCCTTGGACCTTGAGGTCCAGCAGCTCCAGGAGGACCAGTTGGTCCTGTTGGTCCTTCTTCACCTTTGAATCCGACTGGTCCTGACTGTCCCGGGGCCCCACGCGGACCAGGTGCTCCACGCGGTCCAACAGGTCCATTCAAACCTAATGGTCCCATATGACCTGGGTCGCCTTTTTCACCCGGACTTCCAATACCACCTGCTGGCCCAACGGAGCCTTTAGGACCTGGACCCCCAGGATATCCTGGACTTCCCCGAGGGCCTTCGTTTCCCTAGTAACATAAGAAATACAGAATATTAGTTATTTTTTTTAACAAATCTGTCAATAATTGTATTTTAACTATTGTACAGCTAATAAGAAAATTAGTGAAATAAATTCTGTAAATCATTATAAACATTCAGAAAATGATTATCGATGCTCATCAGATATTGATAAATTCCTGTAATTTGATGATCTCATTCCATGAAAAGTATGTGAATAAAAACATAATAAATGTGACGGAAATTTTCTGTTTATTCTACGAGGTTGAATTCTTAAAATGACCTGTACAGTAAACACTTATCGCTTACTTTCTGACCTTCTAATCCACGAGGACCAAGTTCACCTACTATACCAGGTTCACCTTTTAATCCAACAGGACCTTCACTACCTCGTGGTCCAGGAAGACCACGTTCACCTTTTGAACCTTTTTCGCCTCTCTCTCCACGAACACCAGTTAAACCAGCTGCTCCTTGAGTTCCTTTAGCTCCAGGTAAACCACGAGGTCCACGGTCACCTTTATAGCCTGAGGCTCCAACGGGACCAGTATCCCCAGGTTCTCCAGTTAATCCTGGTTCTCCTTTAGGACCTGTATTTCCCTTTAAAAAAGACAGTTCATTGTAATATAATGACGTTATAGAAGAAATAAACATCAAACTAATTAAATCTGTCCACACAATCGAATGATATGAATAAGCATATTCTACTGCTACTTTATGGTTTATTTCAATGAACAGATATCCTTGAGTTTTAATGATTGTTCAATTACTATTTTTTAAGACAGGGGTTTATTAAGCTATACTGATAATATGAATTCTTCCCACATATTAATTATTCCTTTGATTTACTTAGTACGAATTGGTAAATATCTACAAATTCATGTAACAGGTTGCACAAATAAGAGGATATCTGAACTTAATGGTTTTGCGCATTTGAAGCGAATGATACTGAGTTCGAATTTCAGAGTGAACTTCAGTTCTAGGATCTGAGTACAACGAACTGATGAAGCTTAAATAGGAAGAAAATTGTCTGAATCTACTGGCTTTTCGTAGTGCACAATTTATTCACAAGACCTAAATTTTGATTGGCTAATATTCGCTAGGTTAATCTCAAAGTTTCTCCCAGAGCCTCTCATGACCTTCAGTATAGTTTAGTTTTGATGTGACCTCGTTTGACTTTAGGTAAAAATTATATATCTTTGTCCTGTTAGCACTTTCCCGAGGTCACATTCCAGATGATTATTCGAAAGGATTTTCATCATTTTCCTGATTATCTAGGGACTACTTAGATTTGTGTTAATATACTTAATGTTAAGAGCTTTGTACCGATTCATTTGTACATTAATCGGGATCACTTAATTAAATTTGCTATTGTATCGTAATTTAATCTGACAGACTGAAACACTGTTCGGTGAATTTTTTCTGATCTATGGATGTTTAATGGTAGCGTGATTGATTATATTGTGTGCATACATGTCTATCTCCATTCATCTATATATGACCCTGTTAATTATGCACTATTAAATTTGAACAGTTTTATATGATCACATTATATGTATCTATCATTTATATTTTAATTGGTTTTCTGTAATTCATCTCATATAATGATTAAGTAATTGGCTATTTATTGTGAAGGTTTTAGCAGCCTCTCCTGTCTGGATCTATTCAATTCTGTATTCATTCGGCCGGTTTGTCTGCCCACATGGATATTTAAAATATACATGTCCTAAATATAACTCATATTCTACTTTTTATTTAACGTTGTATAAACGTGGTTAGTCGACAGAATATATGTGAAGTAGGATATTTGTTTTATTGTTCAGAATGGACACCAAAAGTTCTTTTATCTTAAATATTCTTCCACTATTTTTTTGTCATTCATTTTAATGTGGAGAAATATATATGTGAAATTAAATACGAATTAAGTATTAAAGAAACTTTATTTAGCAAAAGTTAAAAACCATGGGCTCGTATTGTTATCAAAAACATTTGTACCTGTGGTCCAGGATTTCCAGTCATTCCTGGGCTACCTGGTAGTCCAGTCACACCAGGTGGCCCTCTTGCTCCGGGCTTTCCAGTTAGTCCACGTATACCTTGGGGTCCGGGTACCCCTGGTGGACCAACAGGACCTTGTGGGCCAGGTGGGCCCATTTCACCTGAGTCTCCAAATTCACCTTTGAGTCCATTTGGTCCAATCCTTCCAGGTAATCCACGTAATCCAGCTGGTCCAACTGGTCCCATAGGGCCCTAATTAATGAATACATAAAAAACGTGTCCGTTTAAATCAGCCTATACCATTTAGCAGGACTATTTCGAACAAAGATAACTGCCTCAAGTCACAAAAAGGATTATGAACTGGAATGATATGTCAAGCTTCCACTTAAAACTCAAAATATATGAAGATAATAGCAATCAGATAAGCCTTGATTGTTGAATAAAGGAAACAGTTTCGCAATAACTTGAAAAACTGTTCATTTAGCTTATCACGACCAAATAGTTTACCAAAGTAAACTGAGCACCTTTTTTGTAGACTAAGAGGTCATCCTGTAATGTCAGTTAGGACTTTGATAATTCTACTTGCTATACAGCCGATCAACGTATCATAAATATTTTCGGTAGTTGTGCATTAATTTGTGAAGTTACGAGTTAGATCAGGTCGTCCCAATATTAAATTTGTCGACTGTAAAGTTGCCGTAAAACATATAAGAAACAACACTAGAAATAATTGTTATTAGTGTTGAGAAAACTCTTCATATGCTGTCTGATGAATGATTCCAATTTTTAGATGAAAATTATTAGTATTCCATAAGCCTTACTGTTTAAAACTGAAATTATTATGTAAAGCATACAGAAATCCTTCAGGTTATTGAATTCCCCATCATTTTAAAAGCACTATTAAGATGAGAGGAAAGTAAGAAAATTAAAATAAAGCTTCTATAAACTTAACTACAGAGTCCATTCAAGCCCAGAAATTGGGATTCCTTTGAAATCTCTGTTAGATTCATTATCCTTATACTCGATAATCTGGGATATATAAATTAAGTAAGAACCAGAATATAAATGTTTCTGAATTTATATTCAGATATTTGAATCAACTAGCACATACACTAGGGATAAACAACCAAAGTATCATAGAACTGAGTGGACAACTGAACTGAAATATTAGTAGTATTGGAATAATACCAGAATTAAACCTCTTTGTAATTAAGTTGGGTTTCTATTGACACTGGCAATTAGAATCATGAAAAATTAAATTAGGATAAAACTAACAACGGCAATAGAATATCCAATAATTGTATTGTAGTGAAATAAACCCAAAACTGCACTAGGCTGATACAATCTGCACTGTATTGAAATGAATTCAAATTGTCCAAAGTGTCTCATTTCTTTATACTTGATTATTGTAATGAAATATAGTTAACACATAAATAGATAGACAGGCGACCGGACAAAAGGATATTGGAAGATTCACGTACAAGCATTCGAACTGATCACATAATTGAGAGCAAGTTAACTAATGCATTTGACAGTCACATGTTCAGATATCGTATTCCAAAGTGAGCAGACAATTATGTACATTAACATGTCTTTTTTAAAAGCCATGATCTCTCTAAGTTTTTTATTTATATAGAAGGAAAAATTCCCCATTGAACTACTCACCTGAAGTCCAACTGCGCCAGGTTCTCCAGGAGGACCTACTTCACCGTCTCGTCCGTAAGGGCCAGGAGTACCTCTTAGTCCAACATCTCCCTTAATACCATTTGGTCCAATTTCCCCCTTATGACCTCTATGACCAGGTAAACCCGGCAATCCAGGAAGACCAGGTAATCCTTTAGGACCTGCTAACCCACTTGCTCCTATTTCACCGTCAACACCTGGTCTACCCTGTTCAAACGAAAAAGAAAAACGATTTTCAGTGATTGATAATAGCGTAACACAAAAGTCAGCACAATTTATTTAGAAAGATCATATTCAATTAACAAACTAATATTTTGTGGGTGATAAGTTTAATCCTTTTATTCTGCACATCGTGTGGCTATATTGGGGTAATCCGCAGTGCACCTCAAGTAAGAAATAATAATACGAATAATGAAGTTATGTGTTTTAGAGAACGGAGAAAATGGTACACATGTATTATAAATAATTGATCGATAATAAACTGCCTATATATAGTCTATAAGCCCAACGGAAGCTCACAATACGAGGAATATAAAAATGCCGTAATTCTATTACCTAATAACATGATAAAAATATAAACGGTAATAGTCCATAAAATAGTTCCGAATTCGTCAACTTCCTGTATACGTGTTTTACATACAACAGATCCTTCATATGACTGAGTTCAGAGCCTTCGGACTTAATGGAAAGCGAATTTGAACCAATGGGTCAGAATCTGGTGTTCCATATTATTTAACGTAATCTTTTTATTGAGATTACGAACTAATTCAAGTCAAGCAACAATCGAAAACCAGGACGCAGTGAACGCCCATTTCATTCTAATATTGAGCTCATCTGCAGTATACATTTGTAAGCCTGCAACTAGGAATCAAATCTAGGACTTCCGGTCTCGTAGACAAACGCCTAACTCCTAGATCACTGATTTGAAGCTCAACAGTGTACAAGTTTTTTATTTCATTTATTTCACTAACACACTTCTAACATCTTGAAATGAATTTGGAGACATAAGTTTTGATTCTTCTAGAAAAAATAAATATCATGTTAAATGATGTAATCATATGATGTTTCGAACTCACTAGAATAATCAAAAACTATTCCTTAATGACCATAAACAAATGTTATCATGATAAATGTTTTTTTTTTGTAAATTGGAAATTGAATAACTGATGTCGATCATGTATTATTTCATTATTAATAAGAGTTAAGGCGATTCCAGATCAAATCCCTCATGAGCGCTTGATATAACGAAACCTGGATTCAGAGTTCCTTATCGATCATATTCAAACATCACCTTACGTCTACTACATCACCCTAGTTATTATATAGTTCCCTATATGAAAACTTATGCGAATGAATATAAAGAAGGTGCCATAGAGCTAAGAAAACATATGAATCATTAAAAATTTAACATGACGATTAATTTATTGAGTAATCAACTTACACGAGGACCTACAGGACCTGGAGGACCTCTTAAACCTGTTGGACCTATAAAACCAGGTTCTCCAAAAAGACCTTGATCTCCTTTCGGACCTCTTGGTCCAGGTGGACCTTGTATTCCTGGGAGACCAGTCATACCTTGCTGACCTCGACTTCCTTTTAGCATCATCTATGAAATGAAAAACAGAGTGAAACATATGGATAAAAATGATTCACGAAGTACCCATAGTGTATGTTTTATGTAACCTCAACAATAATTCATTTACGGATATTTTTATTATTTTATTATTATTATTATTACCTGTCTATATCACTGTTTCTAAGGTTACGTTCATAGATCCCAAATATTATAACGGATCATTTATTGAAATCATATCAAGAAGCATTTTTCCGACAATGTAAACACAGTTCTATAATAGGAAATAAGCTTATCGTTTAGTGATATATATATCAGTATCAATCTTGTAATTAATGTTTGAATGCCTGTATTTGACATACTATGTTAACTGCTTACATTGATCACTAACGAACAACCCTGAAAATGACGGGGATTTACACTTATATTCATTCAATCCATTGTATCCCAAATATGAAGATTCATTCTCTCTGAATATATTATTTCCTTTATCCCAATTGTTCACATCGGTTATTCATCAAATATTGTTTGTTCTTTTTCTTGATCTTGAGTTGTTTGTATTTGGCGAATTCCTTAGTAGGAAGTGCCATAGTAGGAGGTTGATAAATTATTAATTTAATTGTTTCTAAATTTACAGTACCACTATCTAATAACTTATCAATAGAATGTGAATTATTTATCATAGACTTACTCTAGTAAACATAATTAAATCACCTATGTCACAGATTAAATCAAAGACTAGTCTCAGCTAAACAATTATTGAAGACCATGAAGCAATGAACAGGTGTTTTGCTCTAGTATGCGACTCTTCAGCAGCACACACCCATAGCCCCAATATTAGGGATCAAACCAGTTACCTTCTCTCTGGTCAATGTTTCCTGGTTTCATACTAGGACAAAACAGCCATATAATGCCTCTTAGTTTCTAATAATGATCTAGCTAAGGTCGTTTCGTACTGTGAATTATGGAAGGTCTACAATCTACATAAAACCTCCATACTGATAATTTATAGTTGTTTTAAAAAAGCTAGCTGATGAGAGTAAATCCCGAAAATCATGACAACATTCTGCCCGGTAATCACAGTTACTCGATTTTTACTGTATATAAAGTGACAAAACAGTGTATTAAATAAAGGTACTTATTTAATGACATTTAAAGTGTCTTAGTTTGAGACAAGATTTGCTTCACGTATCTCAAGACTATTGACTACATCATTTAGCAAAAGAAAAGTCTTAAGTTTTAAAATGACAAATGAAAACTTACGACAGCTTGTTGTACTGTTGTTCTAAAACTGGCCATACGACTTAATTCATTCTTTCCAAAACTTGGTAGCGGCATCATTAATATATGACTTGGTACACCCGGTAAACCAGGAGCTCCAGGGATTCCATTACGACCATCTCGTCCCTATAAACAGAACGTGTAATGAATAGAATAATAGTTTTAGATATAGTAGAAACATTGATTTAAAATGTTTCATTCAATGAAGATTTATTTATGTAGACATTAGTAACTCCTCTAGAGATTTTCTAGGATTACTGTGGGTCCTAAGCTTGGAAAAAGGAAGAGAGTTGGGCATATGATTAACAATCCCACCAAGTTAAAAACAAACGTTTTGGAAAACGCTGACAGAAGGAATCACTTAAATCATTCAAACTCTGGCCCAGGAGTTGAAGGGTCCTTATTTAGAAGAGATATGACGCCTCATCGAAAAAAATTGAAGGTTTTCGGAAGTCTAAAAAGCAATGCCTCTTCAAGAAACCAGAATAAATAGTCTAACCATTATTTATGGATAATACTACACATTGAACGACTGAATGTCATAAAAGCTAATTTAGGCAATAACATATACACGAACCGATGGATTGAATTTCGTATTGTTTTTCTACACATTTTAATTGATTTTGATTAACTACTTATAACAATATAAAGTAGGTAAATAATTACCAATTGACGATTCACCCAACAATCGCTACTAGGATATGATTATCCGAAAAAGAGTTGTAACAATGTGAACTTACACAGCGCTGAGCAAAACCTTTTTTATCTTGAGTTATTATAGATAGCAGAAATTGTAGATGAGTAAACAAATTTAGTAAGTCGTTCTATTATAAAACAGTAAACATTATCTTCGAAGTGTTTCATGTGTTACAAGTTGGTATTAATCATATCCCAAATTATCTAGTTTTCTTCTTTTGCTACTGAATTATTACTCTGAAAGGTAAACAAGTCCCGGAAAATTTTTATTTCATATTACCACCCTAAACGTTGCTATCTTTTGATTGGTTTTTTTCTTGTTGTTTTTCGTCTTAGTACATATTCCCAGGTTCATTGATGTATCATAGTTTTGACTTCGAGAAGTAGGAAAGCTCTCTTATCAATAATTCTCATGTCCTTTATTATGATATGATGCTAAAGGGTGTATGAAGGTTGGAGTGCTGTCGTTACATGGCGGAAACAGTAAAATGCAAGAAGTGAAAAGGGCCGCATCTTACTATTTTTCAAAATCTAGGAAGTAAGAATTGACGGTTAATCGGTATAAAAAGCAAAAATCCATTTTGCAAAGCGTTCAGTCAAACAAAATACAGAACGTTTCTTTTGAAATGACAAGTTTTACACTTTTTACTTTAGAAAAATAATTACAATCCTAAATAAACTAAAAATTATGTAAATGTAGGCGAAAAGAATTCTCGAATAAAAATGACCCATCAGGGTGAAGGGAAAATAAACTTACAGGTTGACCTTTTTCACCTTTTGGACCAACTTCACCTTTTTCACCTGGCTGACCCTAAACAAAATAATTATATTAAAGTCAATCAATCAGTAATTTTACTAGTTGAATTTATGAGTCGATGTAAGCTAGACCACCGTTGGAACGACCGTCCAGTGCTTCCAAGTTTCCAATGGTGGTATAGCTTACATTGACTTATGAATTCAACTAATAGAATGATTAAATGCTGTAACAATTGCCAATTATTAGTTGTGAAAATAATTGGAAATAATAAAGTCTAAAAATGAGAAAGCGGTGCAGATTATGAAAGATCATGGAAGAATGAGGGACTGAACATACTGGTTTTGTACACATTCTATTGCACTATAGACTACTATTTTAATAAATAAAATTAACTGTAGACACTATTGTACAGCTTAATTAAATAAAATCGTCGGAAAGAATTTTTTTTCTCCGAGTCGTTTTTCTTCATCTTCAGTGACACTGTGGGTCTGTTCCGTTATTATAGAATAATTCTTTATCATCACAATCAGTGTAAATATGCAGTGAGTCCTTTGTACGTATTTTCTAAACTTATTAAAGTTCCATTTGAAATCGCTAAATTGAAATCCTGAAGGAAAACAGAAAAGACGAAGGCCAAAGAACACACCACGTTGGGAATTGGAAGCAGATATCAAAATGATGAATAAAAATGAGAAACAACTGGAAAGGATTGGCTAGGACAGAGTTGGATGAAGAATGTTGGTGGGCGGCCCATGCTCTTCCACAAGCGGTAAGAGGAGTAAGTCAATTCATTTGAAACCACTAAAATAAACAAATTATATTTTCTTCCTGTTTTCCATTGGAATATTAGTTAATTAATTTGACCAAATACATTAAGAAAGTAAATAGTTAAACAGTTACCAATAACTGCATTAAGGTAATTTTGACAAGTGTTTCATAGAATTTCTATAATGTTCAAACATCATGTAATTGAAGTATTTCAAAGTTATTTCATATTTGATGAGTTAATTGAATCTAGACCGCTATGGAAAATCTGGAAGCACTAGACGGCCGTTTCGTCCTATTGTTGGACTCCTCAACAGTGCGCATTCACGATCCTGCCTCAAGAGATTCAAATCCAGGACCTAGTGGTCTCGTGAGTGAACGCTTAACCTTTAGATCACTGAGTCGACATCCAACAGTGTTCATGAGCGACACGTCCAAAAAGAACTATAATATTCACAAAAAACCCTTCTGTTAGTTTATTCTATACACAATAATATACGATTAATAATAATGAATTTTCTTAGATATTATAAATACATATGAATAATCTTGACTTACGTAATTTCTAGTCTGTTCATAGATGTACTTTTAAAGAGAAACAATAGGGAGTTTTTTTAAAAAAATCCATGTTAGTAACAATTTACAATAGAATTATTTTTTATTACCAAAAAGAAATCTAATTAGTAGTTATATAATTAAAATGATACAATTTATGAATTAAATTAGGCCTAGTGACTAAATGGCCTTAGTCTCTTTAGTATTCAGTTGTGTAATATTGATGAAGTTTTGTTTTCTGAGGTGGATGGTTTGGTTGTGGAGCTTTCATCGTTAGAAGACTTCTACCTAAAGTTTGTTCTGATGATGTCGTTCAGAAGAACAATGAAAGCTCCACAACCAGATCATTCAGCTCAGAGAACAAAACTCTATCAAAATCATCCACCTGAGCTACAAATCTTCTCCACCATCTTAGTTGTGTGACATCTTATGCATTGATTTTTCGTTCATAACTCAATTTCAGTCTGATTTCTATTGATTATGCTTTGTTAGTCAATAATTTTGGTGAAAATTATATATTTAAATAGAGTAAGAACAAAAATGGAATAGTCTTAATAGATTCCAGATAAATTTTTGATAAAGGATATGAAGTTGTTTCAAATAATGCATTTAGAATAATTATCCGAAAAAAAGCACCAATGATATTCCATTTCTCCAAAGGGAATCGTTATCAAACGCTTTCGACGTGACTTGTGTATACAGTAGGAAGGTACGATTTGCTTTTCTATGCAATGTTGACTGGTTATTTATTAAATAACCTTTACTAAATAATTACACATTTTCTAATATTCATCATGTTGAGTGATTACGCAACCACTTTTTAATTTTATTATCATCTCATTACCATCTTTATCTTGATATTAAGTGCTGGTAACACTAACATCTGTTCCACTCTGCATTACTACCTTCCAACACATAAATACACATTTTACCATGTGTAATAATATATTTAATGTCCCTATTCTTCTTATAATTATGGTGTGTTCGGATATATTTGAACCTTTATCGAAACTTTACAAATTAAAGTATATTAAACATTTATTTATGTAAGTACATCCAGCTGACGAGTCCCAGATAAGACGAAACGCGCGTCCTGGATTCCACTACTAGCTACCATCAATCTTCGCTTAGAATGCTTGTGAAACAAGGCAATATGCACAGAATCCACGTATGCCTATAAGAGACTGATCAATTGCAGTCCTAAACATCAATCAGAAGATTCGAGCAAACAATAAAAAGTGAATGTATTTATAAATATATTAAGAATCTAATAAGTAGTTGTGAAACAGAATAATGAATTCGATTCATTCCGCAAAAACATTGTTCTTCTTAAACTATATAAATGATTTAGTCAACGCTACTATTTTCTATTATTTTCCATCTTCGACTTTGTTCATAGTATCACTGTACAAATATGAAACCTGATGATTAAGTTTTCAAACTTAGTCCATACTGTTATATATATATATATACATATATATTGGCGGCCTGCTTGAATATTTGGATTACTTGTCCCTCCCTCCATCTAGATATTTCAACGAGGTATTTGTTTTTGTTTGTTCCAACACATTATGTCTATTAATCGCATAAACTATCCAGGCGCGTTTTACAAAAGTTCACAACCTTTCGCTGTAGATCTAAGAAAAAATTTCAATCAGTGATATTATGGTGGCTGTCAATATGCACTGAAAAAAAGAACACTAATCAGATGTCGATTCTTGAATTGTTAGCATCTAACTTGTGATCATTCAATATTTATTTTGAGGGTCGACCAAGCATGAAGAAAAAGGAACTTGTTGAAGTTCTTTGTGCTGAGAATTCAATATTGTACCAAAAATATAAAATTGAATAAAGCCCTTAATAAGATATGATCTCTAATTCTGACTAAGATTTTTCGGTGAATGTAATGTAAAGTTTATAAAATCTCCTCCCAAATAGGTTTAGCTATGGTTTGAAGTCATGAATAACTCGAGATAATCCATGAAATAGATGATGTAATGATAATTATATATAAGAACAGAATTGCATGATATGGTACCTGATAATTTTTATTCAACCAAACGTTCCGGGATATTTTAAACTATTATGATACGTTTGTAATTCGTTTATATTTATTAACAGGCCTAGGATATTCCATATGTTCCCAAGTCATTGAAATATAAATAGAATCCAAACTACTACTACTAGTTAACCTACTAGTTAACCAACATATAATTCAACTCAGCGTGTGTAATGAGTTATAACTAATGGAAACAGTTGTTAACTCTTTTAATTCAATCCTTTTTGCCTAATTACGTAATAAGTCTGTTAGATACCATTGAATATAAGGGTACAAAAATATATTTGAATTGTGTAGATTATGTCATGATAGACGATGACTTTTTAATTGTGTAGATAGCAGAAAAACATGCATCATACATAATTACATTTACATTGCGTTAATGAATCTAAATACATTTTCAACTGTATTTAAAAGAAAGAAGGTTATTCAATAATTGTAATGAAAGTTAAATGTTACATTATGCTTAATAATCTTCAGTTAAGTATTATGGAAATGTTTAAGTGAAAAAAAGATTTTCATTAGTGGCGATTTCTTTTTCAAACATTTTACAAGAGTATTGTTTCGACCCTGGAAGTAGGGTCACCGATGCGGATTGCTGAGGTATCCCACACTAGGACAGAACAGCTGTGTTGTTTTTCATAGTTCTCAGTGATGATTTAGCTAAGATTTGTTAATGATCTAAACTATATGAAAGTATTTATAAATTAGTTAGTTATAAGTAAAACAGAACGATAAGTGAGTAATAAGTCTAACTAGAAAATATGTTAAACATAAGTTCCAAAACTGCTGAAAATGGTGTAACCACCATTTATGATCATAGTTATGACTTTGAAAAATGACCTGAGATATTCAGTCAACTTTAACTATTTATTTAATTCAATTAGGGAAAAAAGTATGACATTTTTAAGTGTTTTACTCACAAGAAGAGAGTCTTTTTTGTAACGGGAAGATAATGAATTTCAACTTTAACAGTTGAATTCACGAGTCAGTTGAATCTAGACCACCAATTGGAACCTGGGAGCACTGGGCAACCGTTTCATCCAAGGATGGGACTCCTCAGCAGTTCGTATCCGCGATCTCACACGCGGAACTCGAACCGAGGACCTCCGATCTCACGCGTGAACGCCTAATCTATGGGCCACTCGGCCAGCATCCAAAGATGTTAATCTTCACTGATAATAATCATGTCCTCACTAATGATTAGCTTCAAGATAGATTTCCTGGAGTTCTAGTGAGAAGCTGTGACCATTTGCATAGGTTTAAACAAATCAGTAATGACAATATTTGCAGAATATAATGAATTCACTGTATTTCTTTGCTTTATCTTCAACTAGATACATACAAGCTAATACGTTAAAGTATTTATGATTATTAATAAAATGTTAAAGTGAATTGTTAATCTATACATGAATAAGTTGTGAGAAGTGTGAAGGAATATTTTAAGCTGAAAGTTCTTGGATGGTGACACAGTTTTATTGTAGTGTGACGAAAGACTTTTTTAAGTATAGAAATGACATTCGAATTCAATTCACTAATTTGTGATTATAGTGAATTGAGAACAAGACTAGTCAAAATGCTACCAAATGATTTTTAGGTTAGCTACTGACTCCATGAATGAAAACGTTAAGTGTACGCCCTTTGATTACTATGGCTTCTGAGAATTTAAATGAGATGAAATTGGATTGTTTATGGATAAATTTGAGTGGATTCATTAAACCCATGTTATGTCCCGGGTTTAGTAAGTAACGTTCTATGGTGATTTACTCATTATAACGAGTAAAAATCCGTCTTTTCGTCCTTTCAATATACAGTCTTCTGCATTTACATACAAACTGATATATGCATTTTGAGGTAACATGTGACAGATATTTATCTACTTTTGTTTGTGTTATTGAATATAGCGTTGTGTATAGTGGAGTCAACTTAGCGGTCAGAAAAATGTTTTTTTTCTAAAACAGTTCTTAATCTTTTATTATTTTTGTCCATTATCTTCCAACATTTGAATGACAATTGATTTGCATTCTTCTGTCTTAATTCGGTATTCATAAATTTATTTGTTCATAATGGATTGGACGCATCCATATTTCTGCAAACACTTATTTGCTGTATTATACTCCTTCTTGAACTTTTCCAGTGAATGCTTCTTTATAACTCTGTGGTAGAGAGTTTTCACCAACCCATATTTATAGTCTATAGGGAAAAAGCCGTGGAAGTTTATGTATTTTCCACTCCAGGCTTCTTGTCAATGCATATACCTAATACGTTAACAAATTTCACCAGTACTTCTAGAAATACCTTAATCGAAAACATGAAAAACACCTTTTCTTTTGTTTTCCATGATAGTTGAAAGGAATGAATTGAAATACAATGAATTCATTGTATTCTGTAAAAACTGTCGTTATTGATTTATTTAATATTACTTTTCTATATGAAATTTTGAAGTAATATGAATTCACAGCATAACATGGGATCGAGTTCTGAAAGACATAAAGTCCATGGTGGAGACAGCTTATCTATAGATAACCATATAGAATTCATTCAGTATAAACAATTTCATATAAATACCACAGTGAAACTTCCTTTACAAATGTTATGACATTATATTTTCCTTACTGAAATGTAGGACAATCAAAGCAATTGTTTGTGGTTTGCTGGTTCCATAACCTTTTATGATTTTATCGATTGACAGTAGTGAGATTATTAGGGTAGATTACATTAAGCAGATTATTTACTTTGTTATGTAATCAGATCTTAATTAAAACAAAGATGAATGAAAAATGATATTGTTTCGTTGATAATTTGAAAATTTACTTATTGGACCGATGTCTGACTCAAAACTAGAAATCACTAAACAGTTGTTTCATCCTAGGTTATAACTCTTCAGGAGTGCTAATACACGACTCTATCATAAATGAAGCTGGGGACCTTCAGACTTCACGACAAGTGCCAAAATTTCACACTACTGAGTTATCAACAAATGTATTATATTTGTAAATTCTACCAATTTACAATGATAATTTCCACAATACTCTATAAGAACAACCACTGATACATAGATACTATGTACAACTGTAATGATAGATCGATGCTGTTATTATTTGGAATTAATGTCCTGAGTACATATATATATAACCTGTGAAATGTGCAATAACTAGATTCCAAGGTATGATGAAGCTGAATGAGTATACTTGGAAGAAAAAAAGCTATGAAATACTGAAAGGAATATTGAAGTTTTATACTTAAGAAGTTGAATACTTTGTTGTTAAACTTTCAATTTAGGTATCTACATCATTTACAACACTCAATGAAACTTACTCTATCTAACTCTTTCCTATTTCTAAATGTTAAATACAAAGTTTACAACTAAGACACAAGTCATAAGAAATCTATCTCACCCACTTACTGGTTCTTGAAGTTGCATCTCATCACCAGTTTTATCTGATTCACTACATGGAGAATAAATAGTACATTGATCATATGCTCCACTTGGTGTTGGAATAATCAATAATTGTTCGATCGCACCCTAAAAGAATAATTAAGAAAAAGTAAAACTTTATTATCTACAGTAAAGTTATTTCATTATGAACAGATATTGTTTATTGAAGTAAAAGAGCCCTGAATAACTGTTTTGCTTTAAGTTAAAACTCTTTGTCGAATTCTCAGATACTCCATGATGGATCAAATTCAAGACCTCTAGAACATTTCAGATTTTCTTTTTATGCCTATAAATGAATTATAGAAATTTTATTCACTGTTATTATTGTTGTTGAGAGTAGTTTGCTTAAATTTACAAATTATATCTTATTATTAGAAATCCAGGGGATCAATTTCGAAATTATTCGTTATTAGATGTATGCTCATTATGCAATAAATGGCTGCTTGGAATTCCAGCACAACTTTCATCACTAAATAACATTTGTAAATGATTTAAAATAAAAACTATTTTACAGACAATGATGTAACAAGCAGTTAGTTATTTTCATATATTACTTACATAGTAGGTAAGTAAACGTCAGCAAATCATGTACTGTCATGCACATTAGTATTAACATGAACATCTTATTATCCTAATATTTTCCTTACAGACCTTCAATTTACGAGGGCACTCCAAAACGTTCACAAGCCCAGAACAAATTACTTGTCAGCTGACTATCGACTTTCCCATCGAATCATCAACGAGTGGAATTCATTACCTCAGCACGTGGTTGAGGCTCCATCCGTTGACTCTTTCAAAAGAAAGTTGGATCGACTGAGGGACCACTATTGCCAGGACTAACACAGGCCATCAAGCCTCCTGTCCTTTCCAAACTGAAACTGAAACTGAGAAATGAAATGTTTTTTCACGAGTGCGATACCGATGATCCTCGGTTGAAATCCCGCATGTAAGATCGTGAATTCGCACCGCCGAGAAGTACCATACTAGGACGACACGGCCATCCAATACTTCTAGGTTTTCAATCATGGTCTAACACTGATCGATCCATGATCTCAATAAAAAATGGGATTTTATTTAAAAACTGTTAACTAGAAAAAATTACCAAAAATACATTTTAAATCAATCAAACTACTCACAGAAAAACTGACTGATCCTGCTTTATCTTGTAGAACATATAGCATTCCTTTATTAAATTTCAGATTTTCAGTTAATGTACGATTCAACAATTTTGATGTAATAACTTTACAGTCAATAATTAATGTGACTGAGTCACCTTTAATACTCAATGCAATTCTATGCCATCTAGAAATCGAAAATTGAAATCAAGAATTAAAAGTTATTTTAAGGTTTTGTTTGAGAAATGACATCATGATTGATTATAATCAAATTCGATTATTCTTACAGTGTTACTAAATTGTAAGGTTGAACATGTCCAACGCTAACAGTGAACTTCAAGTCTTCATATTCTTTACTATTCAATGAGTAAATAAGTCGTTAAAATAACACATCTCGCTGATTAATCAACACTTAGGATTATCCATCACCCATATCACAAATAAACCTGAAGTGTATAAATCAAGTTAGTGATACAAAGCCTCAACAGTACAAGTAACAACTTGTAAAGTGTCACACTTATGGCTTTTGAAAGTACACAGTTAACTTTAATTCATTTGAAAAAGGATTATACCCTTATTTTAAAAATTAATGAATAGTTTATGCACATATGTAGACAAAACCAACTTCACTTCCTTCTAGAAGAAAAGAAGTTGAGAGAAGTGAAGTTAACCAAATTTAAATTTCCTACTTGAAATCCAATGAGAGTTTAATCGAATGTAACAATCTACCAGTTCAGTTACACAACATTATCCTCCTGAAAACTGATTGAAAAACTCAGTTGTTGTGACGTGCGGTGTTCAAAATTTGATACTGATACACGGTATGCTATGCGCTAACCCCCCACCCGCAAACTGTTTGCATGAACGGGGACAAAAGATTGAGCGAGAAAGTGTATTCGACTATGGAATGAAATGCGGAAATACTCATTCATATATGTATGCAAGTCTATTCTTAGGAAATTGACTCATTCACCCCAATAAAATACACTTGAACTTTAAGTCACCTTTGATTGCTATTGATTGACCTTTTTCTACTTCTGATTACCTCTTCGTATCATCTATTATCAATTGTTTACTTTTCTTACGTTTAATACTGAACTCATTTGTCAAGCCAGCTGTTGAATTTACTTCTTTATAATGTCTGAAAGTCTTTTCCCTTCTAAATAGTATCACTAGAATAGTGACATTTTTGTCGATAGGTAGTTTAATTCGATGGTGTTTTGTAGCTAAATAAGGATGTAAAATTTGTGAGTCGATTTACTAGTTCTTTTCGTTTAAAGCTTTTGTAATCACTCAAATAGAATAGAATTTCATAATATGCCAATTACATTTAGACTATGTATTCGACAATCCCTTAAGTGATCAGACTTCAATGTGGAATTTGTGCATTTTGATTTCTTAGAAGTTGATAATTGATAATCTATCATAAGTGATCACAGTGCTAAAAATGGTATAGTGGATTTCCGATCCACTAGTATGTTTTTCTCAAAGACTTTTCCAATGTTTAATTTCATTATGTAGAATAATACTACATATGACATACAGAGAGGCAAGAAAAAAAAACCTATTTTAGTAAAAAAGAAATAACCACAGGTGAATAGATGAAACGTCTGGAAATCTTTGTTGAAATTGATTAGATCATATTGATACAACTTAGTAATAGGTAAAGAATATTGTTACTTCAAACTTAACCAGACGAAGCATAACATATCGTACGAAATACAGGGTGTTAAGGAGACCCCGAATGTCCCTCGAAAAAAGCCGGGAGGGGCTCTAAAGACGTTGGGGAACATTTTACCCAATCAATGTTGAGTAGCAGCTTCTCATAAGCATCTTGAAAGTTCAGAGTCACGTGTCACATATTTGATTGGATGATTGCTTACCATGCTAAAATGTTCACAATCCATACCTTTGCATCCAAAAGAAGTCTGTACAATCACTCTCGCTACTTTGGCCATCGGTAAAAGGAGTTTGCAGCAGGACAGTGATAATTTGTTTTTAGATTTCTTCCACTTTTTGGATTTTACTTATTCTCAACATTCGTCTCTTGATTTTTACATAACTACTATACTACTGACCATTCATCGAAATATTTTTGTTAGTTCCTTCTTTTTCCTATATAATGCAACGTAAAAGCTGCTTGATTTCTGAATAATTGCTTTGACTATTATAATTCTCTATCTTTGAATTACCCAATGTTAGTTTATAATCGATATGTCATCATATGATTATTATGTAACCTATCTACTCCATGAGGAATACTTCATTATTGTTAATCATATATATAAAACACACTTACCTTAGATCATTCAGCTTGACATTTAAAAATTCCACTGTGGATGGTGAATCTTCAGATAAATGATAATGCAAAACAATATTATTTCCAACTGACATAGCTAATTGACTTTGTCCTTTTTCATCTGTGACATCAAATATCTTTTGAATTTGTTCATGCTTCAATCGTACAGTAGCAAGAATAGAAAAGTCCTGAGGAAATATAGCTACATTAAAAATTAAATGGTACGATATGATAAAAACATTAATTTTAATGTTTTTTTTTCTTAATAGAAAAGAAAATGGTCAAGAGAAAACAAGGTAAAACTTCAGTTGATTAAATGTGTTTATTTCTATAGTATAGATTAGATTTTTCCACTTAGAGTAGACCATCTAATTATTGAATATGCTCCGACCACTAACCGGCTAACCATATTTCCCTTATACAATCTTATTGAAACATGTAAGTCGTTAATACTTCTATATACACTCTTTACGATTCATACAAAATCTACTGACACTTAATATTCCGTACGTTAGTTTGATTATCCTATTGATTATTTACTCTAAACTCTTATAAGAGGGTTCTAGACAATGATGATATTTAATACATTGTGATCGGAATGTATAAATCTGTTTACTCTGTTTTTTTATTCGTAATCCTCTTATTAGCTATTTACTTTGGCTAGTTGCCTTGAAAGATCTGAAACTTAGTGAAATCATCCAATTTCATGACTACAGAAGTCACAGTTGGAGGTTGTCACATTATTATTTTAGTTGTACTTTATATTACTGTTATCAGAATTTAGTAACCTTTGGAATGGTGTTTGATTTTTTTATTGATTTGTTTCATCTATTTGAGCGCGTTACTTCACATCGCTCCGTTAACAATAAATGTCCTCAATACTATATTATTTGCAAATGAGCTGAGGAATTTCAATTTAATTTTCATCGCCTAATGATTTGTTACATAATTTTGAAGGGCTTGATTACAAATACCTTTGGTAGTATTAGAATGAACTTAAAGTTTACGTTATCTAATCCAACGACAGATCTTTAAGATCAGATTTTGTTATTGAAAACTATTAATAAACCGGAATAAAACAACTTTATTGAACAAACCTTGGTATAGTTAAAGATATTTCTGAGTTTTAAAATATCTGTTAAATCTTACTTAATGGTAGCCGATATCGTGTTGTCTAGCTGTTGGTGCTAAAATAATGAATTCTATGGGTTAATTTGCATTTTGATCACTAGTATCAGTGACTTAAGTCGCTAGGCTAGATAACATAAGACCATTAATTACTTAGTAATCAATCAGTTTTTAAAATTATATTGTTTGTAGTAGGTCATTTGTGACACTCATATCTTAATTATAATGTTTGTAGTGTCGGTTCGAATCCTACTAGTATTATTATTACTCTCTAAAAATCATTTACCAACATTACGAAGGTGAAGTCTTAGTCCGTGAGCTGGATGTCAATAATAATGTAATACTCAACTTATATTATTAAACTTAGTATTCAATGATTTGGCATCAAGTTCTGATGAGCCATTATAAGACTTCTGGGAATTTATGTATATGATTTTCATGACCAGTATTAAAACTTTCTAATATACTACACATTTTTGTACTGCTGATCATGTAAAGATTCACCTTATATGCGTATATATCAGTAATACAACAATATGATCTATGTTCTTTTTGTGTATATCTGTATATGTGAATTACAATATTGACTAGAATTTTCAGGTCTAACTGCAAATGGTAACAAAATTAATCTTTAGTTAACAGTAAATGACAGAGAAAAGTAACTTTCTAAGAATATGTTACCCTGAACAGAATAAAAGGTGATTCCTTAAATTAGTAATACTTATTTAGTTATATGCCATATTGATCAATTGTTATAATAATAATATGAAACAGTGATCGGATATTCAGATATATTTTTTAAAAAAGATGATGTATCGTGAATCATCAGAAGATTAATTTAGTGTTATACATTTCATTTCCATCATGTTTCAATAATTCACCTAGTCACTACATCTCATTATATCTTCTACGATTCAAATGTAAGTATGTGGTGTGCACTACTTGTGCAGACAGACATAAGTAGTAAGTAGTGGGAATTGAAAGTAGGATTATTATCAGCAAAGGAGTGAAATAAAGAAAAGAGATACGAATATGAAGAGAAATCAGAATAACAACATGATCGGAAGAATGATGAAGTATGTAAAAGACAATTCAAAAGAAGATATGCAAATGTTACATTCAATGTATGATTTCCATAGTTTACAAAATCACTACATGAAAACTAAAAAAAAAGAATTCATTAAAGTCTTTCAAAGTTCTGCATATTTCGTTTTAAAGCACGAATTTTACCTACCACGTTCTTTAATCAAACCTACAATCTTAATCATTCTGAATGAATATATCTGCAATAATGTCTGATGAATTGATATTTAAATATTAATAAACAGTAAAATGCGGTGTGTGCTACTGATATTGATATAAGTAGTATGTATCTCCAATCTAAGTAGAGTGTTTAGTGGTAGAAAGTTAAGAAGATAAAAGAGAAGAGAACGAGAACAAAGAGTGATTTGTATGAAATCGAAGGAACGATTGGTTCAGTTGATGGAGGATTTACAAATGAAGTATTTACTGTATGGTTTTCAGATTTTACCATATATATCGCGTATGTCTAATCTTTTAGAAATTAAAGTCATTTCATGACCAACTACATTCACTTATTAATAGCTAACTTCTGATCAGCTCAGTGTGTCATCTTTCCCGAATAAAAGTTGGATATAACTTAGCAGATACAGTTGGGATCAAATGTAGATGTGCAGCATTGTCACAGTTGAAAAATATATGGAAATCAAAACAACTATCGGTCAACATCAAATTCAAAATTTTCAATACAAAAATTACGATAGTTTAACTGTGCGAAGCTAAAACCTTGAGAACTACAACCATCATTCATAAGGTACATGTATTCATAAACGACTGTCTAAGCAAGATACTCAATGTCCGTTGACTGGACACCATTAGCAACAGCCTACTGTGGGAGAGAACAAACCAGCTTCCAGTTGAAGAGGGAATTAGGAAAAGACGCTGGAAGCAGATAGAACATACATTAAGGAAATCCTCAGAATATATCATGAAACAAACCCTAACTTGAAATCCTGGAGGAAAATAAAAAAATGGAAGACCAAAGTACAGACTTTGTCGATAATTGGAAGCAGACATGAAAAGGATAATTAAGAACTGGAAACAACTGAAGAAGACTTCTCAAGATTTAACTAAGAAATATAATTCATCATTAAATCATACATATTTGTTTTATTTCTGACAGAGATGTAAAGTATTTCTCTTCATAAAATCATACATTTATCAAAAATTATGTTAAGTTAAATGAATTTAAAAAAAAAAAACAACAATAAACAACCCACTTACTTGGGAATGCTTTCTCTGATGGTAACTTTAATTTATCTCCTCGATGATATGAATAAGCAGTATTTGGATTTTCTATGAATGATGAAGGACAAGATCCATATTGACGTGTAATTTCATAATTATCCAATTTATCAATTTCAACAAGTTGTAACAAATCGATAGTATCTGTATAATTATTAAAAAAAATATGATTAATTGAATAATTAATTTAAATCAATTGACTCATGATCCCAACTATTGAAATTATTAATAATATCCACAAAAACCCTTTCTGATATTAATCAACATTTACTCACTAGTGACTGGCTTCACGAGGTATATCCTGGAGTTCTAATGGGAAGAAGTGACTAGTGGAGTTTAACTGGTCTTTAGTGAGATAGTAACTCACTGAAGACAATAGTGGAAATGTCGCTCAATTTCGTGGATCATTTGAAGTTAGACATTAACATCGATGGATGCCGGCTCAGTGGTCTAGTGGTTAAGTGCTGGCGCGTGAGACTGATAGGTCCTGGGTGCGAGACGGGATCGTGGATGTGCACAGTTAAGGAGTTCCACATTGGGACGAAACAGCCATCCAGTTCTTCCAGGTTTTCCATGATGGTCTAGCTTCAAATGACTCATTATCTTAACTATTGAAATAGGTACATATTACTGATGTGATATAATCAGTCATTAAATTTTCTGTTATGTAATAACATTATCGTTCAATGTTGCTCTAGTTTTTTTCAATCCATGGTAGACATTAACTTTAGTCAACTAAAGTCTATTTATCAACTTGATAAGATGGTAATAAAAGTCAATTTTCGACTGATTTACTCATTACAAGTTTTGTTCAACATTAATTCCATTCTGATTCAATGTGATAACTATTCAGTGTAGTATTCGGTTTTGTTTACTCGTATAATATTTTATTCTGTATAATATACGACATTGGTGTATTCAATTGACATGAACCATTGTCCCCGAAACACAATGTACAAACATTGATTTGTCCAGCTCACAGAAAGACGACGTCTTATTAAATACTCATGAAATTATTGCTGTACCCACCCACGAAGAAACAGGAAATGAATCAAGAAGCATAATGAAGACAGTTGCATTAAATTAAGCTTATCATTCTATGACAAAAGTTTCTGATGAATGTACTTATCGGGGTTCTTTAGTTGTATTAGCAGATATGACTTATATGCTTTTGATCAAATTGCTTACAAAAATAAGAAAAATTTGTCGGATGTATCAAATGGTAATGAAGAACCTAGTGAAATTTTGATAGCTGCTGATTATTCTAATGATCCACTATGTACCGATGGGATTTTCAAGAAATTCGGTGAAAATGTCTCGGAAGAATCAAACCCTAATGATCTCATATCAAGTGTCCTTGATCCTCACCATTTAGTCAATTCTAGTAGACTCTCTATTCAATGCGGGAAATATGTTTTAAATAGAATCAAACTAACTGTAACTTGAGAATATGAGGATCCAACATTATTTCATGGGGGAGGATAAAGTTACAAAATTTAAAGATGAATCTCAACTTTGAGTCTTCAAAAAGAAGAAGGGGAGGTGATATGATGGATAGAAAAGTCGAAATTCGATGGATTTACTCATTACAAGTTTTGTTCAACATTAATTCCATTCTCATTCAATGTAATAATTATTCAGTGTAGTATTCGGTTTTCTTTTCTCGTATAATATTTTATTCTGTATAATATACGATATTCGTGTATTCGATTGACATGAACTATGCTTAGTATGTGATTTGTTATAACTCAAAGTATTTTCCATATATGTGATTTCATCCTAATTAGTAATCGAAATGGGTGTACAATCAATATATAAATGAGTGTATTTTTGATTAGGGTTGTCGTCGACACTGTCTAGAATAGCACTCATTTCACTGGTCTTCTGTCTTCTCATTTGCGTATTGAAGGAGTTTTAGAGTTCAAGTGCTCAAGTTAAACGCGGCATATCAAGAATATAAGCATCTAGTTATAACACAACTATTTGTTGAGATGCTCTATATTAATCAAATAAATAGTAAGGCGACGTGCTTGAATATCTGAACTACCTGTTCCCCTATCTGGATATTTCAACAAGTAATATGTTTCCTTGTTTATTTTAACACATTATTATGTTGATTAATTACATAACCTATTCAGGTGTGTTTGGGACATTTTTATACCACCGTTGTTTGTACAACTTACAAAACAGAACAATTAGATATATCGTGATTGCTGGTAATATGCATCGAAAAGAATGAACATTATTCAGATGTCGATTTCTGAAATGCTAACATCTAACTAGAGATCGCTCATCAATCATGGTCAATATTGATCAAGAAATAAGAAACGGAAACTCGCTGAAATAATTTGTGCTGAGAATTCTATATTGCACCAAAAATATCATATTGAATAAGGCCACTAATAATAAATAATAAGACATTGGAAGTTGAATAAATCAATTATATCGATCATATTATGATTTAATAGTTGAGTTCATGAGTCAATTGAAACTAGACCACCAACACTCATCTTATTACATAAGGTATCCAAGATACAATTCTATGTAAGTAATGCTGTAGAGTAAGGATACTACAGCGAAACAGCTTCCTACTTCTCCTTGGTTTTCAGTAGTTTTCATATGTGATGTGTCTAAGTAACAACATTTGTTTTTTTCTTTCTGTTATTGCTTGTAGTGTCAAGTGCGATGTCAAGCCCACATAACTTATTCTAGCTTTCGGACGAACTAATTAGTTCGTTCTTCTTGAGTCACATTTTAACCTTGTTAATTATTGACTTATCAACTTTGACTTTCATGTAAGCGTATGCGTCAGCATTTCTTATCTTACTCATCATATCTCTGTAATTTATTTTTTGTCTGACTATAAATATTGAGTAACACTTGGTTAAATTGAGTCTGCTAACATGCATTTCTTAATCCGTTTCTCTTCGCTCTCTCCTCTGCGCTTCCTTCGCTCCATCTCTCTGATCGTCGATTCTGATCAACGATTGTACGAAATATACGTATTCAAAAATTAATCTTCGTATTTATTAAACTACGTTATTCACCAACGCGAATTAGATTGATGATCATGTACGAGGATTAGCAACATGTTTATTTCAATAACAATCAACATGCAACCAAACTAAAGTCAGATATAGGGCCACAAAATACTATTCACAAATATCAAAATAAGTTACTCGTTTGTAATACCTAAATCAATCACATAGTTCATTCAGAATTAATCTGTTTTTTTTGCTACTATCTCCCATTCTATTCGTTGTATTAAATCAGAAAATTGTTCAATCAATCAAATGACTACTGAAAATGACTTCTCTAACTGGTGGACAAGATTATTATTACTATTTTTCTACCGGTATCTATAATATACACTGTTGTTCACTAACTGTCCTAAAATTAACAGTCCATCTGTTGAAAAATAAACCTGTCTGTAAATAAGGCACATAGCAATCTTAGTGATTAAATTCTTATACATAAATGATGGAAGCAGTTAACACTACCCTGTATTAACTCTTTGATTTTGGTGTATAGATCTAATTTGTTTTAATTCATTTTTAAAGCCAGACAATTATTGATTAAGTGTTTGGTCATATTTTAAAAAAAATATATACATATAATTTAATAGTTGAAATCATAAGTCAGTTGAAGCTAGACCATTATGGAAAACCCGGAAGCACTGGACAGCCGTTTCGTGCTAGTGTGGGATCCCTCAGCAGTGTACATTTACGATCCCGCCTCGCAAGATTCGAACTTAGGACCTATTGGTCTCACGCGCGAACATTTAACCTCTAGAACATTGAGGTGATCATGATCTCAACTATTACAGTTACTATAATATCCACAAAACCCCTTTATATATGTATATATTAAAATTCTTTACACAGAAATTAGTAATATCTAGAAGCTTACTGAAAGAAACTAATCATCTGATAGGTGTTTCATCTTAGTTTCTATAGGTTTGTCTTTATCAGTTATACAATACTTTGGAAATATAACGAAATCCTAGGGTTTTATCAATTTAATTATCATAATTTATGATCATTAACAAGTGTTTTTTGTGATGGATAGCATAAAGTTCATATCACATGTAATAAACTTTGAAGTTAATTTCATGATAAGTGATTACAGTATCATAAGGAATCGAACCATTTAATTTTGTTTCATTTCTCATTATAAAATATTGTATTTTTGGATTCGATCTCATCAAGTTGAATGTTTGTGTACTGTTTAAAAATCTCATACTTAAGTGAAACACTTATCATTATACTCTCACTTATTTTCAGTAATAATAATAATATCTAATGCTAGTCTGTAATCATAGAAATCTGTACTCATAAAACAAAACATTCCGTTTTGTTTTCATAAACATCACCGAAATAATTTAAGTATTGGGATGTAATTTGTGGAGAATGTATAATTTTTATACATTAAATCATGAACTGATCTTAGCTAGGTCATCAGTGGAAAAATCAAGTAGCACTGAACAGCTGGTTCGTACTTTCTTGCAACCACTCAGCAACGCACAACCATAACACCATTTCCAGGATTCCGACCCGTGACATTTGGTCTTTCTCGAGAGCTCTTTTACTTTAGACCAATGAGTTCAGATTCAATGGTACACATTTCTAACATGAGTCAATTTACGATAAATTGTGATCACCTTCCATTACTTGGAGTAGATAACTGTCTCGTATCCAACATGGTTGAGCTTCACTGGTCAGGGCTCGTCACTGGAACTCCACGAATTTCATCTCGAAGTCAAGTGTCAAGGGTTTGTATTTGAGACCGAAGGACATGGATTCGATTCCCAGTTGTGGAGTCTTTGATATACACTTCAAAGTAGTCCCATAATAGAACAAAACGATAATTCAATGCTTCCAGATTTTAAATAGTGGTCTAGCTAAGATCAGTTTGTGATCAAAATAATAATCAATTTAATAGATAATCACTAATTTTTCTCTGATAATTAATAATAGTTTATTGACCATTTTTAAACATAAACACATATTCCAAATGAATATAATCAAATCAAATAATATACTTCTTGTTATATATATAAACGAATATTTCAAAGCTTAACCTTTTTTTCAATTTCATAAACACAGACAAAAAAAGACAAATGGAGACAAAGAGAGAGAAAGAGA